TTTTCACTAAGAACAACACACAAACCTACATTTTACATTTTTCTGTGCACAAATATTTTCTTTACAAGTACTTACCAGCAAGAAACTGATGATCATTCTCCAGTTTGTGAAATGAGCGTCTCCTTTGCGTCTTCAGTTTTGCCGATTTAACTCCCTTGTTTTACTCACATTTATCGTGTGTATAAATTTCTTTGAACGAAATTATTATTGCTGTAATTATTGGCGTTGATTACCTCATGAAATATAATACCAGTTAAAAACGCAAGTTTTCAATCGAATCGACGATTTACCGTCCGCCATTTTTAAGATGATTTACTGCCAAGTTAAGAAATTTCTTAACTTTAAGATAGGGTAGTAGCTGACTTATATTTAAGACAAAAATTGTCCATCTTAAGACAAAACTTAAGATAAAAAACAGTTGTGAATACCACTTAAGTAAATTGCAGATTCTTATCTTAAATTTAAGATAATTTCTCAAAATATAAGAAAAATCTTATATTTAAGTCAAAAAATTAACTTAAGATCAGTTGTGAATACGGCCCCTGGGCTGCGTTTCATGGAGAGTCCTAAGTTAATCCTAAATCCTAGGACTTATGACCAACTTTAGGAGAAAAAGTTTTTGCACTTAAGACCGTTTCAAGTAACTGTCCTATCTTTTGTCTTAAACTTAATACTTATGACCAATTCGCTCTCCTAAAAAAAATTACAAAATAAAATGGCACGCGCATAATCCCGGATTGGATTTACTATGTAATTGATTATAGCAAGTGTGGTTTTGACTTAGGAAAATCTTAAGATACCTTTAAAACACTCCTAGACTTAGGACTGTTTTTGGTCATAAATATAGGAGTCATAAGTTAGGACCTTTTTTAAGACTTTCTTTGAAACGCAAAATTATCACAATTTTTGTCTTAAGACAAACTTAAGACTTAGGACTCTCCATGAAACGCAGCCCTGAACTATAACTATTACATAACATCACTGTTTGGCGTTCTATATTTAGACATGTGACGTAATCATATACACGTGACGTAACAACTAAAATGTGACGCGCTGACAATATGTGGCGCAATTAAGCTAATTATAATGTACGGCAGCATTTATTTGTTGATGTCGTGTTAGAATCGAAATAATATATCCAAATCGGTGATTTTATTGCTTGATAACATCACTGTTTGTCGTTCGGATACGCATCATTATATCACTCGGGCTACGCCCTCGTGATATAATTCCCGCATCCGAACTCCAACAGTGATGTTATTGAGCAATAAAATCACAGTTTGGGATATATTTAGGAAATAGATATCAATTCTGAGTGCATTGTTGTAAAATAATACACGGTTTGAGTTCAAATGCGTAGTAATATAATCACGAAGGCCGATAGGCCTGAGTGATTAATTACAACGCATTTCAAGAACGAAAAACGTGCATTATTATACATTCTAACACTCACGTGATTTTGTCAATATATATAGACAAAGAAGGAAAAAAACTGGTGTTAAATTGCCAATAAACACCGGTTAGGGACTACTTGTATATGCGCTGTTATGTTTTCACCCTCGATTGTATAGTTTACAAAGCATTTTAAGGCAACAATAAAAAGCATTTTTATTTATATTTTCAGTTCGTATATAATGCTTTCTTTTCATACAATACCGAAATAATATCTCACATACACTAACGCCACATATTAGATCCATATCAGTTAATAAATATTTTTACAAAACGGCGCCAATCTGTATAAGCAGCGTAATGACGTCATCCTAAGTAAACAACTCATTCATAAACAAGCTGACGTTATTTCATACATACAAGAATGATAAATGGGGCACTGACGTTTACACAATACAACGTAAGTTTTTATTGTTGAAAACTTGATAACATAGCGTTTTTTTCTTATTATTTCTTTTGTTTAACAATTTCTATATCTTCGCAACAGTAGGGTGCGAAAATCGAACAGCGTTATACGAAAATCGGCACCGGAAGTTATTTCCGCTTGAAAAATAACATTAGCGATTTTCCTTATTTTATATCGTGTTAGAATCGAAATAACATCGGCCTGAGAGGTGTATATCGGCTATTTAACACCGGTTTTGTCGTTTCGATGCGAGAAAATTAACCACTCAGGCCTACGGCCTTCGTGGTCAATTCCTACGCATCAAAACTCCAAACCGGTGTTAAATAGCCGATATACAGTGCACCTCTCAGGCCGATGTTATTTCTTAAATAATGCACGAAGAATTAATATCTATTTCCATTCTAACACGTCAAGAAAAAGTATAATTATTATTATAAAGTTGGACTTTATGTTTGGTGGTTAAATTTGTTTTCACCTCAGAGTTTCCAATAGAAACGTTCTTTAAAGGCTGTTCCAGTGGGTTGAAAAAAACTGTCGTTAAATCTACTGTGTGTAGAAACATTTTGAGAATAACGAATTTTGAAAACGTTGATAAAACTTTGTTTGTTCATTTTATTTCACTCTATAATTTTTCAAGCGAAATACAAATTATTAAAAGTGAAATAAATGTTAAACCCAACTCGTCTGCGATATTAAAATAACGTACTTGATTTGATTGTTTTGCACGTGCTGTTTGGCTCTACATTGTGACGTCACGTAAACAACACTTTAAACGTCTGTACAGCGTTAACGACTGAATTAAAGATATTGGTGTTCGGATTCATTTTCTTAGTTAGACCATTTTTTATAATTCTAGATAGTTTTTCAACAAAATTCGACAAAAAATTGTTTTTATTTATCAGATTTTTAAACAAAATGGCGCCCTCAATGTGAAAATATACAGGGAGATAATAAGAACGGCGAATGCATTGTTGTAGAATAATGCACGCTTCCGGCCTTCTTTGTCTATATAGGAAAATTTCCGAAAGTGTTAGAATATTTCTTAAATAACGTTAATAAAAAGGCGTATTAACGCGAATCAAAAGGCGTTATAACGCGAACCAAAACACGTGATAACGCAAACCAAACGGCATAAAAACGTAAAACAAAAGGTGTGCTAACGCCAATTTAGTACCCTATTAATGCTGATTAAGTGACCTAGACACGAAAGAAAGTAAGAACGATATTGATTTGAATTATTTCTCAGACATGTGCACGTTTTATTTTCAATAATCTAAGGATATGTTCCTATTCCACAGTATGACTTTTTCCTACTTTTTTCAAGATCTTTTCATCTTTAGCCTAATTAGGAGACACAATCGCGTAATAATAAGATACTATCAGGTTATTAGGTAAATATACAGGAAATATGTGTAGATAATTGAAAATATGACGCTCGTATAAGATAAGATTACAAGTTCATTTACTATAGTGACATCTGTACAATGAATGATATGATGCATGTGAGTTAAGAATAACTCTATTTGTAACCGGCCAATGGACCTATAAGGCACTTTATATTGATAAATACCAGAGTCATCATTAGTGAATGACAATATTATCCTTTGTTTTGCTTACTACGCCATTTGATTAACATAAATATACGGTGTTCCGTAAGGGCCAACGCGTTTTCTCTAAGAACGAAAAGCGCGAAGCATGACAGTACGATGGTGACAAAACGACAGTACGATGGCGAAAAACGACAGTACGATGGTGACAATCAATCGTAATGTCGAATTGTCACCATCGTACTGTTGTGCTGTCACCATCGTACTATCGTACTGACACCATCGTACTGTAGTATTATCACCATCATACTGTCGTACTGTTACCATCACATTGAAATCTTTATTTAGAATCTGTATTGCCGTCATAGTAATATTTAAAGAGTCAAATACTTTATGCATAAAGTTTACTTACGTTACACGTTTATGAGCAGTTTGAATATCAATTGAATTGTTTTAGCTTTAGGTTAGAGTGTGTATCGGATGTTTTTAAGCTAAAAGAGGCTTTGCGAAACTTAGAACTAATATCGGCGTTTAAAAAAAAACAACAAAAAAAACAACAAACAAACAACAACAACAACACCAAAACAACTTTTTGACACGGTCAATGTATTCCTCCATGTTTATATTTAATTATGCGCATGCCTAACAGGAAGGCGACAGTACGTTGACAGTACTATGGTGACAGTGCGACGTTACGATGGTGACAGTACGACAGTGACAGTACGATGGTGGCAGTACGATGGTAACAATACGAAAGTACGATGGACCGTCACCATCGTGCCGCCATCGTACTATCGCATTGTCACCACCGAACTGTCACAATGGAAAAGAGTCAACTCGGCCCTATACCAACTCGGCACGGGTCAACTCGGCACGGGTCAGCTCGGCCCACTTTACAAAAATATATAGGCCTATAACGTATTTACTTTGCTTTGCATGTTGTTAAGGTAAATGAATAATAAGAAAATAAAATTAATATAGACACAGGCACGATTATCGAACCTGGGAAGAGAAAACATGAACAGATTGATAAAATAACTTCATATTTTTTCTTCCCAGGTACGATACTTGTGCCTGTGAAAATAGATATAATAAAAATGTGTTTCCTTAGATGCATTTTGTTTGTAAAGTAATTTTAAAAAAAAAAAAAAAAAAAAAAAAAAAAAAAAAATGAAACAAAAACGTGTTTACTTAATAGCATAAGCTTCTAATTAATTGCACGTGGTCACTAATCAAATTTGAATGAATAAGTCAATCATAATTATCACCTAATTACTCGGTATCTTTAACATACACATTGATTGATAATAATAGCCCGTGACAATAGGAGTCCTTAATTTGATGTCCTTTACCCTTTTTTAAAAGTGGGCCGAGTTGACCCGTGCCGAGTTGGAATAGGGCCGAGCTGACTCGGGGGCCGAGTATGTTTTAGGGCCGAGCTGACCCGGATTCGTCACAATTGTACTGTCATCTTTCGCGCTTTTCGTTCAGGGAAAACAAACTGGCCTTAATGAAACACCTTATTGATATCAAAACAATAAATGAAATACAATAAAGTACAATATCCCGGTTCTGTAACCGTTACCTATATTTAGATGGAAAATTATCTTGTTTTTAGATCATGTCCGGCTATACATTCGATTCCTGAAGAAGTTGATACCCTGTACAAGCAGCCACTTTCAAATAAAATAATATCAGGACTTGTTGAAGAAAAGCAACAATTTACAGATATTAAACAAAGGAAACAGCATCTAATTACTGAGATTAAGAAAGAAAAGAAAATCGCTATTGATTCTATATTAGACTATAAGAAAGAACTTGAGGATGAATTGAAAAGACTCGAGCGTGAATCAGTCAAGTTAGTTGAAAAAGAATATGGAAGCATTGAACAAGAATTACAGAATGCCATCAAAGAATCAGATAAATGTATTGATGAATTTCAACAATCAGAAGACAAGTTACAAAAGTCTCAAGGGAATAAAGCTCAAGAGTTCGTGAGCATAAAAACTGCTCAGAGAATTATTCGCACGGCCAGTGAATCTAAAAAAATGCTGAATAAATCAGTTGTTGCTCATATAACATTTACCATGAACGCAAATATTAAACAGTTTTTGAAACAAACTGGTGTATTAGGGCATGTACCAAGGACAACAGTTTATAATGTGAAACAACATAGCAGTTTTAGCGCAAAGATGAAGTCAGATGGTTCATGTCGACTATATCATTCATGCCTTCTTGAGGATGGTTCTCTACTTGTCACAGATGTTAAAAATAAGAAACTGAAGCGTGTTGATACTACCAACTATACCATCACAGATCACCTTGACATGGAGGCTGGACCTATAGCTGTATGTCAAACAGATAAACAAGAAGTTGCAGTAAGTCTTCAGAAAAAAAGTATTGTGTTTGTTACAATTGATAACAAGATGGTAGTTACTAGAAAGCTAGATATGGATCACCACTGTTGCAGCATTGCTTACAATAAAAACAAATTGGTCATATCTGATGAAAAGAATGCAGTTTACATATATAATATGAACGGTAGTATGATACGTAAAATTACTTCCGACAATTCAGGCAAGTCAATTTTCTCAGATACTCGACATATATCCTTAAGCACAAACCGAGAATATGTATATGTGTGTGATAGTAAAAATGGTTTAATAACTCTAGATACGCAGGGAAATCACATATCCACATTTACTGATGATGATATGAGTGGTCCACAAGGCGTTTGTACCGATGGCAGAGGGAATATATTTGTAGGTGCATATACCTCATCAAATATTATACAGATTAGAGAGGATTCAATGACAAAAATTGGTGTCATCAAAACAGATACAAATCCACTTTCTGTTTGTTTTGATACAAATAAAAACATCATATTTGTTACTCATCATGACCAGAATTCGATAAAAATCTACACACTTGAATAACGCATACACATGCAAAAATGTGAAGTTAAACATCAGTGTATGGTATTTGTATTATTATATACAGAACATTTTATTAACATGGGCAGGTATCAAAAGGTTTCTCAATACCATAAGATTCAGTATCAACATTTTATTACCTGTAAATCATTATTAAAGTGACATGAACCATTCATTATTATATAATGTCTACTTTTAAGAGTTTCAGTTTATCAATAAGTATACAGATATGAAAATACTTACTTAAAACTACGATTTGAAATATTGTTTAATGAAGAGTTGATAGTACTACATACATGTATATGTTGGAATGAAACTACATATCAACCATTTCTGTTTCACTTGCTAGCAGTGCTTAATTTCAAAATGACAATGTACTGAGAATAAAAAATGTTCAAAATGAAAATTCTCAAAATTGCAATGTTACAAAACAAAAGTCAATGTTTTATACTGGTTATAGTAAATACACATTAGTACTGATTATATCATCATGTATACACAGGATCGTGTACGAGTTGTCATTTTCAACTTACAGGGCAATTAAACATGGAGAGGTTAACGTGTCAGACTAATGTCAGACTAGTAATCTAAAGGCAAGCCGGTGTTTCCTTAAGCAAGAAGTTTTACACACATTGCTTGGTACTGGTTGGTCCCAGGAACAGATGCGAGAGTGTTTCAACAAGCTTCCAACACAATTAAACTAAAATAAATTTGTATAAACTAAACAAGTTCAGCCTGTTGCAAGCTTTATAATATTTCGGACTTGTTGACTGTTTTTTAAGTGAGTATGTTAACTGACAAACGGAAAAAAATCAACAAACTCAAGCCTTTCCTAAAATAATGCCAAGAATTGACTGAAAACAGGGTTAACCTGGGATATAAAATAACTTGGACATAATTACACTATTTATTATAAATATATCATTATTATATAATGTTATAATATTTATTATACATATTATTTATTTGCCTGGTGAGGTTTGACGTTTTATATTAAACTCGTTTTTGCTTAGAATTCCGGTGAACTTGCTATACATAGTACCAAGGACAAGAGACAAACACTTATTAATTCATCTTTAGCTTGCTTGTGGCAACTCAATCTACAACCAGTACATACCTAGACCAGCCAGCACATTCTTGCCATTTGATCATGGTCTACACTGTTCCCTTTTCAGTCAGTTTATATTTAGAAAGTTACCCCAAAAATGAAGAACTGTCTAATCTAGTTTAAAGCTGGGCAAGTCCATTTAAAATATTTAAATCTGGAATGGAAATGGTGAAAAAAGATAACTTAATTTTATTTAATGAATACAATAATGGCCACCTATTTTAGTAGGAGAGTTATTTTTTCAAGTCCGAAATAATATCAAAAAGTCCCAAAAAAACATATACAGATGATTATTTTATGTAAATACAAATAAAATACTTGAAAAAGTTTTGTTTGTATTCATCTGATGGTGTTGTTAAAAACTTGTTTTATTTTCTTGTTTCCTGGCATTGAGATTGTTTCACACATATTTCTTTTGGAATATTTTTGCTGATATACATGTAAAAAGAAAAATTGAAATAAAACAATTATCACTTGATACTTATGTTTTAAGACATTTTTTAACATAAAAATAACAAATAACAGTAACATACATACCAATGAAATAATATCTGATGGTGACATTAACTAAACACAAAATAAACAGAGTGTACGTAAAGTTAAACATTAATAATTATATGTTTGAATAGGACAGCAAATTTAATTGGCTATAATATGTGCTCTGTATTCAAAATCATGATTGCATGTCATTAATATCTAAAAGGGTCCATGAAAAGGGTTCACTTATGCCAAGTATTGTAATGTAATATCAAAACAAAGCTATAGAATAGTATTTTAATGTAAAGTATATATGTGAAGTATTTAACATTAATAACCAATATTATAAATGTTACAAAAAATGATAAAAACAATCTCAAAAGGTAGTCGCATTAGCAGTGAACCATTTGTCTGAGTGACTTGCAATTTAAGGTTTTGGCACATTTAAATGTTCATACATCTTATATCATTGATAAATCACAAAGGTTAACAACAATTATACAAAACAATAACATATCAAACAAGAGGGCCATGATGGCCCTGAGGTCGCTCACCTGTATATAGACCCCCCAACCCCCCCCCCAACGTTGCAGGGCCAATTCAACCCAAGGGCTTTTATTTGCACAAACTTGGTAGACACCCATAAGAAGATGTTTCATGCTAAACATCTAAGCTCTAGCTCATTGGGCTTTTTAAAAGAAGATTTTTTTAAAGTTTTTACTATACACATATAGTTAAAAACAATGACACCCCTGGGGCCGGGCCAGTTTTGACCCCAGGGCTTTTATTTGAACAAACTTTGTAGACACTTACTAGAAGATGTTTCATGCTTAATATCTAAACTCTAGCTATTTGGGTTTTTTCAAAGAAGATTTTAAGTTTTTGCTAAACACATATAAAGAAAATCAATGACCCCCGGGGCGGGGCCAATTTTGACCCCAGGTCTTTTATTTGAACAAACTTTGTAGACACTCACTAAAAGATGTTTCATGCTTAATATCTTAACTCTAGCTATTTGGGTTTTTTCACAGAAGATTTTTTAAGTTTTTGCTATACACATATAAGGAAAATCAATGACCCCCGGGGCGGTGCCAATTTTGACCCCAGGGCTTTTATTTGAACAAACTTGGTAGACACCTATTAGAACATGTTTCATGCTAAATATCTTAGCCATAGCTCTTTGAGTTCTTTAAAAGAAGATTTTTCAAGTTTTTACTATATGCATATAGGGAAAATCAATGACCCCCCGGGGCGGGGCCAATTTTGACCCCAGGGCTTTTATTTGAACAAACTTGGTAGTCACTCATTAGAAGATGTTTCATGCTAAATATCTTAGCTCTAACTCTTTTGGTTCTTTAAAAGAAGATTTTTTAAGTTTTTACTATATGCATATAGGGAAAATCAATGACCCCCTGGGGCGGGGCCAATTTTGATCCCAGGGCTTTTATTTGAACAAACTTGGTAGACACCCATTAGAACATGTTTCATGCTAAATATCTTAGCTCTAGCTCTTTGGGTTCTTTAAAAGAAGATTTTTTAAGTTTTTACTATATGCATATAGGGAAAATCAATGACCCCCCGGGGCGGGGCCAATTTTGACCCCAGGGCTTTTATTTGAACAAACTTGGTAGACACTCACTAGAAGATGTTTCATGCCAAATATCTAAGCTCTAGCTCTTATGGTTTTTTTAAAAGAAGATATTTAAAGTATTTTCTTTCAGTTGCCATGGCAACCAGAGTTCTGCATGGAATTAAATTCTTTGAACAATTTTTAAAGGTGACCACCAAAGGAACATTCCTGTGAAGTTTAGATGAAATTGGCTTAGTGGTTTATGAGAAGATGTCATTTAAAGTAAAAGTTTACGGACGGACGCCGGACGGATGGACGCCGGACGAAAAGCGATCACAAAAGCTCACCCTGTCACTTTGTGACAGGTGAGCTAAAAACAGGCTACTATTCCAAAAGGGAGACTATCTGCACAATATCTGTCTGTTTTTACACTCAAGCTGATAAGGTTATCTTCCTGTGGTCCCATTTGTGAATCAGGTATTTGATTAGTTAAGATAAAGGTGTACTAGTGTTGTATAAATGATACAGTTGTTTACTCTGTGCCTGACCAAGACTTCGAGACGTCTTCCCACACTTTATAGATGACAGGAGATTTTCCTTCTCTTTCTCACTTGAACAGTTCTCATATGCTTGATATAAACTGAAACAAATAACATTAATAATTTACTATATTCATAGAAAATATGACTGCTAGCAATAAAACAGAACTTAGGCGACATGTTTGAAAATAATGTGCATTAAATAAACATAAAACATTATTTTCATCCCAGGCATTTAATTAGAACTCAAGCACAAATGACACTTTTCATGTTTGTTTTTGCCAAATCTCAAATAGATAAAGTCATAACGCTATTTGCATTGGTACATTCTAAATGAAACTAACCTATGAAACATACACCAAGTTGATTTTAAGAAAATGGGTCTTTTAAGTATTACTATAATTTGTCTAATTGTAAAATGTACTTTTTCCCTATTACTCTGGCTTCGTAAATTACTTAAGACAACATAAAGATTGAGTGAAACCAATGATGGCAACTTACTGTGAAGGAGTTGGATATTTGTCTATAATAGCTCGAGCTTTGACAGCAGACATACCATGTAGCTGTATCAACTGTTTTCCAAACATCTCATGTACAGTCAGTGCCTGTTAATATACACATTGAGTAAACGATGCAAAAAATATTCATTTCCTCAAAATGCCTGACACTTTATTGTACAACAGATCAAAGAAATTATTAGTTAAGAGTAATGGTTGTTTTTATTTATTGTGTTTTTTTTTTCATTTTTATATTTTTTGGGGGAGGGGGTGGGAGCCGTTTTTGCCATTTAATTCTGACCTCATTATGCCGTTACAAGGAATTTATTTGACATTTTGCTTTACAGAGAATTCCTGGGAAAATAAGATTGACCTTGATTTGGCTTAAAATCAAATATAAGTTTTGTAACCCCTAAAGCTCTTGCAGAAGTATTCATTTATAAATGGCTTATGACTGTGAAATATTAAAGAAAGATTCAGTTAAGAAGCAAACAAAATGCCTTCAGGTACTGATTCCTGTACACTTATAATGACAGTAGTACATGTGATTTTATTCCTGAATTATCTTTAGTTTAGGATTTTCAATATTATTACATAGAGTATAAGTGAACAGAGCACAATCAATATTAAATTAAAAATAATGCTGATTCTAACTCACCTTTGACTTTACTGATCCTTGATTGAATTCTTCAAATGTAGCAAGTTTCTGCCATTTATCAGTAACATGAGTTACCACCTTTGATTCCTTAATGTCATCTAGACCACAAGCATACAGTGTCTTATCCTGAAATAGAATATCTTTATATAATTATATCTGCTTAATTTAAGCTCATTTGTACAAGAGCCATGTCAACATGGCCATCCCCCGCCGAATATGTTTGCTCACTGGAAGAATGTATATGTAGTAGAGCAGAATAATTCCATTTTAAGAGGTCTTTTAGTAATGAAAACTGTTGGCTGAAGTGATTACAGATTTGAAACTTATGTGAATACTGATGGCTGAAAATAACAAAGGGCAATAACTGAAAAATAATGCAGGGTAGGTTATCATTCTTGTGTGCCAAATCCTCCTCAGTCAAATCTTTCCACCTATGAAGTTTCAAGTTGATACCTCAAATACTTTTTGAGATAAGCTCCGACAAAATAGTATGAAAAAGAACAAAGGGCAATAACTCAAAAATTATATAGGGAAGAGTTATCATTCTTGTGCACAGCATTCTTCCTGAATGAGATCTATCCATCTACGACATTTCATGTTGACATCTCAAATGCTTTTGAGTTATGCTCAGGTGGAAAATTAAGTATGAAAAATAACAAAGGGCAATAACTCAAAAATTATAACAAGAGCTGTCGGTAGGACAGCAACGCTCGACTATTCTTAGTGCTTGATAGTAAAAAAAATGCTTGATACAGTTACCTCCTCCTGTTTACAGGTTGGGGTCATGATGGTGAACAAGTGTGCAAAGTTTCAAAGCCATATGTCAATGGACTTTGAAAATATTTGAACTATTACAAAAACTTTAACGTAAATTCTAAGTCGAAAAAGGGGCTTAATTCTGTCAAAATGCTTGATAGAGTTACCTCCTACTGTTTACAGATTGGGGTCATGATGTTGAACAAGTGTGCAAAGTTTCAAAGCCATATGTCAATGGACTTTGAAAATATTTGAACTATTACAAAAACTTTAACGTAAATTCTAAGTCGAAAAAGGGGCATAATTCTGTCAAAATGCTTGATAGAGTTACCTCCTCCTGTCTAAAGGTTGGGGTCATGATGGTGAACAAGTGTGCAAAGTTTCAAAGCCATATGTCAATGGACTTTGAAAATATTTGAACTATTACAAAAACTTTAACATAAGTGGTTACGCCGACGCCGACGCTCGGGTGACTGCAATAGCTCTACTTATTCTTATCGAATAGTCGAGCTAAAAAGTAAAGTTATCATTCTTGTGCACTGCACACCTCCTGAGTGAGACCTATGCACCTATGAAGTTTCATGTTGATATCTCAAAGGCCTTTTGAGTTATGCTCTGGATAAAAATTAATTTTGAAAAAATAACAAATAGCAATAACTAGAATTATGCAGGGTAGAGTTATCATTCTTGTGCACTGCACTCCTCCTCAATCAGGAATATCCAGTTATGAAGTTTCAAGTTGATATCTCAAATACTTTTTGAGATAAGCTCCGACAAAATAGTATGAAAAAGAACAAAGTGCAATAACTCAAAAATTGTATAGGAAAGAGTTATCATTCTTGTGCACAGCATTCCTCCTAAATAAGATCTATCCATCTATGACATTTCATGTTGACATCTCAAACACTTTTGAGTTATGCTCCACTCAGGTGAAAAATTAGGTATGAAAAATAACAAAGGGCAATAATTCTAAAATTATGAAAGGTAGAGTTATCATTCTTAAGCACTGCACACCTCCTGAGTAAGATCTATGTACCTATGAAGTTTCATGTTGATATCTCAAAGGCTTTTTGAGTTATGCTCTGGACAAAAATTAATTTTGAAAAATAACAAAGGGAAATAACTCAAAAATTATGCAGGTTAGAGTTATCATTCTTGTGCACTGCACTCCTCCTCAATGAGATCCATCCACCTATGAAGTTTCAAGTTGATACCTCAAATACTTTTTGAGATAAGCTCCGGACAAGTAGAATGAAATAGAACAAAGGGCAATAACTCAAAAATTATATAGGGAAGAGTTATCATTCTTGTGCACAGCATTCCTCCTCAATATGATCTATCCACTTATGACATTTCATGTTGACATCTCAAATACATTTTGAGTTATGCTCAACTCAGGTGAAAAATTAGGTATGAAGTTTCATGTTGATATCTCAGAGGCTTTTTGAGTTATGCTCTGGACAAAAATTAATTTTGAAAAATAACAAAGGGAAATAACTCAAAAATTATGCAGGGTAGAGTTATCATTCTTGTGCACTGCACTCCTCCTCAATGAGGTCTATCCACCTATGAAGTTTCAAGTTGATACCTCAAATACTTTTTGAGATATGCTCCGGACAAAAATGTAGGACAGAAGGACGGAGACTATTTCTATATCCCCCCCTGCCTTTTCGGCGGGGGATAATAATGTACTAGTCATGCTTCAAATTTGAAACAGTCCAATGATACAGAAAGGGACTTTAATACATAATTTTGATATCAAGCAGCAAAGAGTATATTGTCATCTTAGTGCAATAATGGATTAACTCCAATTCAGGGTTCCCACAAAGAAAAGAAATCAAAATTCCCTGAATTTTCCATGACTTTTCCCTGACCAAGACCACTTTACCCTGACTAATAACAGCGTCAAATTTTCACAATTTTTAGAGCATAAACATACTTTTTATATGCTGGCCTCCTCTTCTCTACCCAACTCCTTTCCTCCTTTTCTTTATTTTTAATTATTTCAGATAAAGAAAACATGTATCATGTATATGAATATAAGCAACAATTGCCTTTAGCTTTTGTATAATTTCTGCTATATACTAGTATTATAAGCTTTGCATACACTTTGCTTTTCATGAAGCCACTTCATTACCTGTCTCCTTATTGTTTCTTGTTAAAACAAAAGTTTTTAATTGATTACTAACATTAATTCAAGTAAAATGCATGCCTATTTTAGTCAATCCTCCATTGATTACACTGCTTTGTAAGGGGAGGGGCCAAAATATTAAAGATTGCATTTGTGAAAAAATGCTAAATCACTGCATCAATATAACAGGAGTAGATTTTTTGTTTTATACAAATAAACTTTGCCATAATGCAGTTGTGTCTAGTGAATTTGGGGTCAAGGTCATATTTCAGCATAACATATGAAAATAAATTTGCAGATGTGTATAATGTTAAGATACAAAGGCCATATAGTGCAATAATTGAAAGCTGTTTACTGTATTACATTGCAGATTTAAACTTAGAAATACAGTTACATTTTTTTTCTTAAATGCTATTTTTTCAATTAAGCATTACCTATTTCTTACACAGTTAAAATTTAAAAGAAGATTTTTAAAAATTTTTACTATATGTAAATAATGAAAATCAAAGAATCAGTCAATTTAATCTGTGGGCTATAATTTTAACAATCTTGGTATAGGTCTATTACACAAATTTTCATGCTAGATATCTAACCTAGCATTTGTCAATTCAGAGAATTTTATTAAATTTTTACTAAATGTATAAACATATAAGGAAAACCTATTTCCCTTGGGCGGGCCAATTTTGACGCTCTGGGCAAAATTTGAGCAACTTTGGTAGAGGACCTATAGATGATATTATATACAAAGTACCAAAGCTCTAAGCCTTGTACCTTCAGACAATGATTTTAAGTTTTTACTATATGTACAAAATGAAAATATCTAAGCTCTAGGCCTTGTGGGTCTTTTAGGACAAGACTTTTTTAATCTTCTTTTTTTCTTATAATTTCTTTTGGTTGACATGACAACCAGATTCTTGCATGGAATCAAATTGGAAGCCCTTTACCAAAGGAACAATCCTGCCAAGTTTGAATAAATTTAGACTAAAACGTTTTTTAGAAGATATCTTACTTCACTATTAAGTTAAAGTTACTTTAAATGACAAAATATTTCATAAATTTTCAGACATAAGCATATTTTTTAGAGTAAGATATTTACAAGAAAAAATGCTCCTAATGATAAATAAATATAAAGAGTCAAATATACCTAAAATAATCAAAGAAACTGCCTTAGCCTTGACTGATTTTGCTTCCTACACTTTGACCAACATTCTTCTCTTACAAAATTCCCTTACTTTTCCCTGACTTTTGCTTATTTTTCATATTTCCCTGACCAATTTCAAAATTCCCTGACTTTTCCCTGACCTTGAAAAAAAATCATTTTTCCCTGACTTTTCCCTGACCGTGGGAACCCTGCAATTAAATTCTTAATATGGGTTAACCTGTCACTGCATTTAAGTGGAGGATTTTTTATTATTATTATTCATGTAGCTGTCAGCCTTTTAACATAGTTTATTCAATAAAACCATCGATTTCCAGAAGACTAATTGGCATGTCCGTTAGAAAAGCTTATCTTTTTTACACACTTTCAATATCAAGTATTTCTAAAATTCGACTTTATTCTATTGCATAATGACAGGTGGTATAAACCTATTTAATCAAGACAATTATGACATAGTACAGAAGGAATACTAGTAGTCTTACTTTAAAGAAACTCTGAAGGTAGCGAGTAAAAACTGTAAGAAATGCAACTGATTCTTTGGTTCCTTTTGTTCTTTTTACTTGAAAACCATCTATAACCTGCAATAAAAAATCTTTTTTAGAGATAAAGAGGTCGTAATAAAGCTCACATACAAATTTATGTTTTGTCAAAGAATGATAGCCATACATGTAGCATGTGGAATGAAAATGTAATAGCCAAGATTCAAAAAACAAAACACAGTATAAAATCTCGATAAGTTGATTGATACATTGGCATACAATGGAGCCTCTGTACAATACTGTACAATCTTGCAAATACAACTGACAGGCAACATACAAAACAATTTGTCTTATTTAGTCATCGTTTAATCTGTAATTTGTATGAATATTATCTTTAATGTAAGGGACGCAACTCAATTAAAGTTCTAGCATGAATTTATAATTCGCTTTTTTACCCTTGTCACTTTTCGTTTTCGCTTTGCCAATCATGCCAATGACAGGGAAAATAAATAGGGTTACCCCATATTGGGTGCCCTCCCCCCCCCCCTCAATTCCATGTTTAACTCGTGGCATGTTTGTGACTGTCTCGTTCAAAATGTTTATCTAAAAATGTTTATTACCCTTCCTAACTTAGCAAACAAGCAAAAATAAACCTTACAAGAAGTAAGGTAGAACCACAATTCTTACCTGTGTATTGACTATTGTTTGTTTTAGTGTAGATTCAGGTAAGCTAAAATGTTGCATTGATCCATAGTCTTCTATCAGGTACATTTTATGATTTAAACCACACTGCTTCAAACGAAACTGCAATGTAAACAAATTAGAAATATAGTATATTAATTTCATAGTCTAGTTTTTAAGTCTAGCACACACTACTTATACTTTAATAGAGAAATTCTAATTTATCTTGTGAACGTTGACACCAAACTGATATTCGGCATGGACAACTATCTAAACTGAACCCTGATCTCCTGTGTTTATGTTAATAGCACAGTTTTCAAAACCAACAAGTCTATATTGCTTTTCTTTACTATTTCATTACTTATGTGTTACATCCGAGTTAAAGACCATTTGATATCAATCACAATCTGACAGTTAAGATCTACTTATTTCTTCCTGTAGATCCGATCATGACCATATATGTTTCACCTTTGTTATAATCAGGATTTCCCCAAGAAAGCTATTTTAAGCCATGCAATCTAACTGATTTTTACAGATAGGCATTAGAAGAAGTATCAAAATACCGTTATCATCAATTTTTAATGGGAAAGATTGTTTTGCCAGTTTACCTGTCGGCTATATGTACAATGTCATGTTTGTTCTCGAAAAAGTGAAATTTACCTACTCAGTATTGGCTTTCAAAGGGTTATAATTAGAAACTGCATTGCTTTCAAAATAATGAAAGCTTGCCAATGATTGGTTTGAAAGACCACAAGAAGGTGACTGCCAATGGGTAAATGTTAGATCCTAATGCGTAGTGTAATTTAGGAGCTTATTTTAATTAGATTGATATAAATCATATTCAACATTTCATGCTAACAGCTCAAATGACATTAAATAAATCTAGGTATGTCAGATCTTGAGTATTCTCTTTTCAAAACAAACAGTTATCATAAAGTAAATATGTATAGATAAACTACACTGAAACAAGGCACAAACTAACCTTTTGTTCCCTAAATCTTCCATCAATACAGCTACTAACCAAGTCATCCATTCTCTTCCTCTCTATTATATAATCTAATACAAGTTCTCTTCCAGGTGGCCGACTTAACTGACCTAAAAATGTTCAATATACCAATAATGTAACATAAATATGCGAAAGAAAGTGAAAAGAGACAGAGAAACGTTTAACTTCTCAAACCTTTGGGGATAATTGAATGTGTTTATAAAGGCAAATGTGATAAAGTATATCAAATCAAAACTGTTGGAACCTTATCAAATGTTTAACAAAATTTCAATATTAAAACTGTGAATTATCAACAACTAAAAAAAATATATTAATGTTTTTAGTGTTTTATTTCAAGTTCTTATCAATTCTCCCCTATCAAATCATTACTATTGTCCTTGGACTTTCAGTTTCAATGTTGTCAATTCAATCACATACATACTGAGATTTCTACATGGCTACAGTCATCCAATTATATATCCCCATTTGGTATATACAATGTAGTTTGTCTCATCAATTAAACTTCTATCATTATACAGAACAACACAATAAAAGAATGTAACATTTTGTCATCAGAAAACTTCAAAGTAAATTTGCAATACCTTGGACTGCTTTACATTTCTCTTTAGCAATCCACAGTAAATCACCAACATGTAATTTTCTAAGATCACAGTCTATTCCATTCTTGATCAGATCAGGAAGTAATGTTTTACTGCCACCTTTACTCCTAAAATGCAAATAAAACAACATATTTATTCCCCATTACAAGATTTCATAGAAATTGACATTTGAAAATTTTAGCAGCAGTTACCAACATGTCAGTAAAATTACAACATATTTAGTTTTATTTGGTTCACACTGAAGCCCTATATTCTGTTTATGAAATCTGCTGAAAAAAACTCATAAATAAATACAGTATCAAGTTTAAAGCAGAAATGTTATACATAAGGTTTTCCATTCTTCACAGTATATAAGTCATACTATACAAAGCATTTAAGCCAATCAAAATTCGCGAAATTTATTTGCATTTTTATGAATTGCAATATTCCAGAGTACAAAATGGTTGTTTGCTATATAAACCCTCATCTAGTAGCTGCTATATATAAAATTATATAACCATTTATATATAGCTATAGTCTGTAACTAATAAACTAGTTATGTAAGTCTAAACAGACTGTTTAGATTTGAATTGTTAACCATAACAGCCATATTCTTAAAATTATCATTTAAATGAAATTCTCTTTGTAGTTTCTCAGTCCATAATAATGTTACTGTGTAGTGTTTCTAAACAAATTGTTAAAATCTCACTCACATTAACAGCATTTACTTCAAACATAGTTTATATATCAGTTCTTACTTTTCAGTTTTCCTTAACATGAATAAGTACTTACAAGACTGAAAAAAGTGAGGACAATAAGTGGTGGCCTATAACAGGCATATCAAATATAATGCTTTAAATAGCATCACCTTACTGCAAAATCAGTATTATTTGTGGGGCATTAATTTTTGCGGTTTTTGTGGATAGGTCAATTCACCCATTTAAGATCCACCACAATTTCATTTTGTCTGCTGTTAGAATATTTTGCTTCACATTATTTACATTTTATCTTTTGAAAATATAGACGGTCTACCAATTTAAGAACCCATGAGAATGTTCTTTGTAACAAAACCATGAAATTTCATGCCCATGAAATTATATGAATTCACAGTATTATAGATTTAAAGTACATTCATTACAAATAAGAAAATAAAGAAATATTACAGATACAAGAAAGAATTGAATTATTTCATTATCCATCTGTTCAAACAGACATTTACTAAACTACATTTTATGTCTCTATATTTCAATATATACTTACGCTCCATAGAATTCAGCATTATCAATACACAGCACTATATCAAATTCCCCAGGATGTAATACAAAATCTGGTATAGGTAATATCTGGGTCGATGATCCTGAACTAACGGAACTTACACTCTTAATGGAGCCTTGAGAACTACTCAAACTGGACACTGTACTTTGTGAAACAGCGTCTTGAGATTCTGATATTAATGACTTAGGTATGTTTCCCTTAGTTTTTAACCTATCAAACAAGCTTTGGTTTTCGTTAGTTTCAGAAAGAGACCTAGTGGATGGTATGTAACAGTTAGAGTTAGTATCTTGAGACACGGCTCTCTTAAAATTAAAACATTTCTTTGACACAGGTATTGATGGTAATGAATCTCTAGAACTATCCTCTGAGTCAATAAGTACAACATTTTCACTACCGGTGTTGCTGTTTTCATTGCCGTCTGTTTCATTTTCCAAAGATGGCTGAATAAAGGGAAGTAAATCAGGAGCGCCTTTCTTCTTCACCAGAACTGTTGTCTCCCTTGGTTTTTCAATTTTTCGTTTTCCTGTATTCAATGTTTGATTCACTATAAAACACAAAATAAAAATTCAATGAAGGCTACTTTTCATATGTATAATGTCTAGTGTAATTAAATTCTTAGTAAAACAACAATTTTTTTTATTAAATGACAAAATAAAACATACAGAATCACCGTAGGGAACGTGTTACAGTATCGCGTTTTTCGGTTACAGTATAGAATTTTCAAGATGGAGGATTATTTATGGGAAGAGAGGTAGGTGATTTTTATTCAGGTCTATACTACTAGTAGTTTCGTTTCTAAAAGATGTTTTTGTGCTTTGCTTGTAAGGAACAGAATCCGGTGACTAGTCGTGTATTTCTTCAGACCCTGCACCGCAGATTTATCTCTATATTGTCTCATAAATATGCAGATTTGACGGTTTAAAAATTTGAATCGAGAGACCAACGCATTTTTCTGCCATTCCGACATTATTTATGCATGCCTATATAAAGTAAATCTACAAAACGTTAGTCCTTTGTGTTTAGAAACGTTTTTAAAAGTAAATGCCCAGTTAAACCTATTTTCCTGTTGGTAAAATGCGTTTGAAAAAATAAACAATGTTACAGTATAGAGCGAGGTTAATTTTGAAGGGTTACAGCATAGACCTAGCGACTTTGATCCAATTATGTTACAGTTTATACCCAGATTTCGGTTACAGTTTCGTGTATCCATTATTTTTATAAAATAACTCATACCTTTCTATTTAATACATTCTTGAAAGGTTGTATTAATTTTTTTCTTCAGCAGAAAAGTTATAGTTTGCTATTTTTCTTACTTTAAGTTTCAGATTGAGACTTTTTTGCAGAATAAGTAATGTCCTAAGTAACCTTGGACTGTTTTCACGACAACAACAGTAACTTTTATCGAATTGTATTGAGAGAAGAAAGATTATTGCTTGATTTCATTATACATTATAATAATGCTTATTGGTAATAAAATAGAGAAAAAAGAATCCTTGACAGAAGTCCAACACGGAAAAAATGAAAATGTTGCAGGCTCAGTTTGATTAAACCTGTTCATGGACGGTAGTGGTAATTGCAAGCTACTGTCCACGCCTCCTATAACACCGGCTTCAGTAGAATTCACATTAAACATGAACTGGTACACTTTAGATTTTTTAACATCTGTGGATGTGTTTATATGGCGGTTATCATGGAACCTTCAATGTGACACGTTATTGCCATTCTATATGAAAAGCGGCATATTACCCCTAGGTTAAAAATTGCGTGTGCCCTAAACGAGAATACAATGAATGAAACTAAATAAAATGAAATTTTAGAGAGGATCGGAGGTTATGAAGCCTGCATACCATAGATAAGCTGTCAAAAGACACAATTAACAAGCAGGCAATACCCTAAGAATGGTTAAACAGTATTTAAGTAAGCAATACTGCAACCTTAAATCTTATTTTAAGTTGGAATTTCTATGTACCATAATGTATTTTGTAAGTATTTAAAAGGGTTTGTTACGTTTGGCTTTCTTGGATTTTAAGTTTCAACGGCACTGAGGTCATGTGAAAACATTAGGCCTGCTTTAGTGTAAAGAAAGACCCCAGATACCCTTTGTGAAACATTTCAGACACGAGCGGGCACCTGACTAGAACCACCAACCTTCCGTAAATTAGCTTGATAGATTCCTCACATACAAAGAATCCAAAGTCATGATTGGATTTCAACTACAGCAGTAAATGAAAGATGATTTGAAGTCGACGGCCTTATCCCGACTCTGCCACTATTATGTACCTCCATCAGGCTCACTAGAGAAGATATTGTAATTGTCTGACCTTAATTTATACTCTATAACTTTCAATATTATTTTCTTTTTCAGAAACATGAAAACTGCTATACCAGGATGTCTGAAATAAAAATAAAACGACTTTTAATTTTATAATGACAAAATAATCGTAACTTCAACAAAGAAGCATTCGAAATGACGCCATGATCATAATTTGATTTGAATGCTTTTGGTTCGAGATGAGAAGGGTCTTTAAACATTGCCATTTTTTAAAATCTATGTTTTGGGTTTTCGTATCCCCGATCTATGTTTTGGGTTTTCGTATTCCCGATTGCAACCGAAACCATTTGAACAACTTAATTGGTAGAAAGTCATGTAAATTTCATCACATTTAGTCAAGTATATTTACTGAGCGGATGAGATTGCACACACATGAGTACGACAGACGGACGAATAGCCATCGGGCCAATAAGCTCACAGAGATTTAAAAGTCTTTGTAACATTCATACATTTTACCTAGTACGAGTATATATAGAAAATATCGAAGTCTAAACTGTAACCAAAATCTGGGTATAAACTGTAACAAAATCGGATAAAAATCGCTTGGTCTATGCTGTAACCCTGCACAAATCACCTCGCTCTATACTGTAACATTGTTTATTTTTTAAACGCATTTAACGAACAGGAAAATAGGTTTAACTGGTCATTTACTTTTATAAACGTTTCCTAACATAAAGGACTAACGTTTTGCAGATTTACTTTTTTCTAGGCATGCATAAATAATGTCGAAATTGGAGAAAAATGCGTTGGTCTCTCGATTCAAATTTTCAAACTGTCAAATCTGCATATTTATGAGACAATATAGCGATAAATCTGCGGTGCAGAGTCTAAAGAAATATATGACTAGATACCGGATTCTGTTCCTTACAAGCAAAGGACAAAAACATCTTTTAGAAACTAAACTACTTGTAGTATGGACCGGAATAAAAATCTCCTACCTGTCCTCCCAACAAATAATCCTCCATCTTGAAAATTCTATACTGTAACCGGAAAACGCGATACTGTAACACGTTCCCTACGGTGAGAATGTTCAGTATGAAATGTTGTATTTAAGGTATAAATTAACATTTGTATCAAAGGTATAAAAATATGATAGTTATTTCTTTTGTAATTTTTAATTCAAACTGATACTTTCAAGAACATAATGTTATTCCTACCATTTACTGGCAGAGGAAAACCGTTTATTCTGCTCCATGCCATATAAAAAGGCAGGGGAAGGCACTATTCTAAGCCCGGGAACACAAAGAACAAGAGCCACCGCCGGGCGGGGGCAACGCTCGACTTTTTACTTTTTCTAAACGCAAACATAGAAAGGTTTGAACATATCTTAACGTTTCCTTTTTATAAATTTAGTTGGTCTGTCTTGTCACATTAGTTTTGTTTATATATTTTGTATATATATATGAATAGAAACATTACGCAATTTCTAAAAATAGCAACATTACGCAATTTCTAAAAATAGAAACAATGACGCAATTTCTAAAAATAGAAACAATGACGCAATTTCTAAAAATAGCAACAATGACGCAATTTCTAAAAATAGAACCAATGACGCAATTTCTAACAAGAGCACCGCTAGGCGGAGCATTATATGCCCGAAAGTGTTTTTTTTCTTTTCTAAGGATGAAGCATTTGTAAGACATTACATAAATTAAATAAAGTATTACGTCCTTCAAATAGCAATCCTCCTATAAAGTTTGAATATTGTGGGCCAAATGGAACTTCAGTTATGCTCTGGAAACTGTTTTTAGTTTTGAGGTAATAGCTACCTTGAACTTTGACCGTGTGACCTCAGAATCAATAGGGGTCTTCTACCCAATATGGACAATCATCCTATGAAGTTTCAACACTATGGGCCAAATAGAAAGTAAGTTATGTTCTGGAAACTTTTTTCAGTTTTAAAGTAATAGTGACCTTGACCTTTGACATTGTGACCCCAAAATCAATAGGGGTCTTTACCCAATATGGACAATCATCCTCTGAAGTTTGAATATTGTGGGACAAATAGACCTTAAGTTATGCTCTGGAAACTGTTTTCAGTTTTAAAGTAATAGTGACCTTGACCTTTGACCTTGTGACCCCAAAATCAATAGGGGTCTCCTACCCAATATGGACAATCATCCTATGAAGTTTGAACACTGTCAGCCAAATGGAACTTAAGTTATGTTCCGGAAACTGTTTTCAGTTATAAGGTCATAGTGACCTTGACCTTTGACCTTGTGACCCCAAAATCAATAGGGGTCTTCTACCCAATATGGACAATCATCCTATGAAGTTTGAACACTGTCGGCCAAATGGAACTTAAGTTATGCTCCGGAAACTGTTTTCAGTTTTAAGGTCATGGTGACCTTGACCTTTGACCTTGTGACCCTAAAATCAATAGGGGTCTTCTACCCAAAATGGACAATCATCCTATGAAGTTTGAACACTGGCGGCCAAATGGAACTTCAGTTATGCTCCGGAAACTGTTTTCAGTTTTAAGGTCATAGTGACCTTGACCTTTGACCATGTGACCCCAAAATCAATAGGGGTCTTCTACCCAATATGGACAATCATCCTATGAAGTTTGAACACTGTGGGCCAAATGGAACTTAAGTTATGCTCCGGAAACTGTTTTCAGTTTTAGGGTCATAGTGACCTTGACCTTTGACCTTGTGACCCCAAAATCAATAGGGGTCTTCATCTCAATATGGACAATCATCCTATGAAGTTTGAATGTTGTGGGCCAAATGAAACTTAAGTTATGCTCCGGAAACCAAATTGCTAACGGACGGACGGACGGATAGACAGACGGACGGACGGATGGACGCCCGGGGGTATAACATAATATGCCCGAAATTCTTTCGGGCATATAAAAATAGAAACAATGATGCAATTTCTAAAAATAGAAACAATGACGCAATTTCTAAAAATAGAAACAATGACGCAATTTCTAAAAATAGCAACAATGACGCAATTTCTAAAAATAGCAACAGTGACGCAATTTCTATAAATAGAAACAATGATGCAATTTCTAAAAATAGCAACAATGACGCAATTTCTAAAAATAGCAACAATGACGCAATTTCTATAAATAGAAACAATGATGCAATTTCTATAAATAGAAACAATGATGCAATTTCTAAAAATAGCAACAATGACGAAATTTCTAAAAATAGCAACAATGACGCAATTTCTTAAAATAGAAACAATGACTTCTATTAATAGAAACA